TGTAGATTCGTACAAACCGCCAGCAAACCCTCAGAGTCCCGAGAGATTCTTCAAACTACCAGGAATAACAAGGGTGCTTGTTTTGAGAACTCAGAAAAATCAAGAAGTATAGAAATACCCCCCTGTCCCCCTCATCCCCCTGCCCCACCACTGCCTCCGCCAAAAAGGACGGCCCCTGATCACGGGCACTCCTCATCGGCCCCAACTTGGGACAGACCCGTTTCCCCCCTCCTCCCACAAAGGCATCCAGTTCCCACCCACAGAATGCCTCTGCCAACCCCTTGCCCTAGTCTGCCTCCGCTGTGGTATGATGCCGACCCATACATCTCCCCCAGCCCTAGAATAGAGCATCCCCCAAAATCTGCCCCATCTCCCTTTAGGGCAATCACCTCCCTCCTTGTGAAGCCCTTGCAGAGTAGAGCTCTCCCCCTCAGAACCAGCCCACCACCCCACCAGAAAAAAAATGTTTTATGTTTAAGAGTATCCACATTCTGAACGTTTCTGTAGATTATTTCCCCCCCAGGCCTTTCCTCCATCTCTCCCTGTCCCTCCGCTGCCTCCACCGAAAAGGACTGCCCTGATCACAAGCTTCCTTTATCGGCCGCCGACTTGGGACATACCTACTTCCTCCCCCATCTTCCACTAAGGCATCAAGTATGCCTCAGCCAACCCCTTTCCCCAAACTGCCTCCGCTGGGATATGATGTCACCCCATACATCTCTCCCAGCCCCAGAATAGGGCATCCCCCAAACTCTGGCCCCACTCCCTCCAGGGCATTTCACCCCCCGCCTTGTGAAGCCCCTGCAGAGTAGAGCTCTCCTCCTTAAAACCCCAACCCCCCACCCGCTCAAAAATAATTCATTAGTGTGCCCAAAGGGAAATTAGAAATTAATAGTGGAGAAAAGGGAAAACACTTCCAATCAAAAATTCCGAAAATCGTGATGGAGAGAAGGTAGACGAGTGTTTTTTTTTTTTTTTGGATTTTGTTGATGACGGTGAACAGCACCCTGAAGATGATGATGGTTAGGAAGATGACAGAATGATGATGCTGATCATACTAAAAAGCAGCACCGACCCTTTGATTACAAACTATTAATGATGATTGATGCTGATGATGCTGACGCACAGCGCCCTGTAATGACTACAAGATGGTGATGGTGGTGATCGCGAGCATAACTAATGATGATGATTTGATGATGACGATGATGATGGTGGTGATGGCGAGCATCACTAGTGATGATGATGATGACGATGATGACGATGATGATGGTGGTGATGGCGAGCATCACTAATGATGATGATTGGATGATGACGATGATGATGATGATAATGATGATGATGACGCACAACGCCCTATGATGACATAAGGATGATGATAGTATTGCTGACGAACACCTTTGATGATAATCCTGATGATGATGATGATGATGATGATGATGATGATGATGACAATGATGATGATGATGATGACGCAGCTGATGGTGTTGATGACGAGCACCTTTGATGATAGTACCCTAATGATGATGATGGTGGTGACGAGCGTCACCCTGATGATGATGACGAAACATTACCGTGATGACGATGTCGATGATGATGATGAACCATGGCCTGTTGCTGATGCTGCTGCTGATGATGATGATGACGAGCAGCACCCTGAAGATGATGATGCTAGCAAACCTTGATGATGAAGCCTTGATGATGATGATGACGAACATCAGCTTGATGACGAACTGCACCCCTGATAGCCTCGTTGTCATGGCGATAACAGTGTCGATTGTACTTGATAACACGTCCAAGCTGCGCCCCTGAAGACGGAAGCAGCGGGGTCAAGTCGCGACCTAATAGTGATAGTGAGAGCAAGGATGATGGCGAGCAGCACCCCAATGACGGGCCGTTACTGTAATCACTCACACTTCAGGGTACCTAGGGCTAACTCCACTGTACTCCACAGACATCGACTAAGCTGACGCCTCTCAGGCCGAAAGCCACGTGCAGCAACGCAGCGGCAATGGAGCAAAACGTGGAACTCCCAAAACTGAACGCCACCGGGAGTCTGACCACCTGCCACATCAACTTGTGAGATGGTGTGGTCAAGCGCCTGCGGTCTCCTGCGCGTGCGCTAAGCGCCAAGACTTCAAAAAAGGCCGCCATCGCCACCGCGCGCTATCTCCAGGAACACGTAGTGTCGGGCGGGGTGCAGCGCTCCCGGTAGCGTTGCGCCCCTCCTCCGCCTTCAGGCTACCGACTGGTTATCTTGGTTGTCCAATGTAGCCAACTTCCTGTTTTTATCCAGCCATAAGGTTTCAAAGATATCCTTGCACTGTTGCCTCTCATTTTGATCTTTGGCGTCGGCGAGGTCCTTTTTAAGTTGCTTCCAGGCGGCTTGAGTATGGTTGGTGATTGTTGCAATCACCACCTCCCTCGCTTGTAAGTAGCCGAAGAAACATTTGTCTCTTTCATGGGAACAGCGCATCCTCCAAGCCAGCAGCAGTAGCGAGAGCCTCTTGTAAGAGAAGAGGTTAGTTGGGAAGGCATCCCATTGCTGGGTCTAAGGCGTATGTTCGCCAAGCAGAATGAGGGGAAGGCTCCAGGACAGATGCTGGCCGACTAGATGATGCCATAGCGAGTCCCACCAGCTCCACAGCTGAACCACCGTAGGGCAGGCCACCAGGCAATGTTCGAGCGTTGCTCTCGCTGGTGGGGAGGAGTTCCCACGATAGGAGCAGATCGGGGAGAGGATGCCGTGCTGTTCCAAGGTTGTGCGGGAGACTATCCAGTCTGGGGTGGGGAGGCATCTGTGGAGGATCTGCCACTGCAGGGCTCGGTGAGCCGTTGGCATGATCTTGGAGTAGCGGCACCCTGATAGGTTGCTAAGATCTTGCCTACAAAGTAGCGAACAACTTTTGCCTGAGGATCATTCTGAACTCAGCACCAGATTTGTATAAAAGAAAAGGTTCTTTTTTTGTTGGGAAGGCGAAGAGGATGGCCCTAAGGACCACTACTCACCACATGCACAAACGACAAAACATATGGCGGCATATGTTCTAGCAGAAGATTATTCTAGTTTTTTTTTGCACATTCAGTGAGAATCACGTCCAGACCAACAGGGCCTAGCTAAGTTAGTAACCCATAACTGCTGAAACATAGAGCTGAATTCAAATCCAGAATATACATGCTTGGGCCGTGTCCTCCTCCAGATCTGGATGTGGCCGACCTCGGGTCTTCAACAACAACGGTTTAAGAATACCGAATGAAATTTCTAACCGGTTCAACAATATCCCAAGGAAATTCCCACATTTCTCCTGGAGTGGTAGGTTGGTGGCCAATGAGGATGACGGCGATCGGTGGACAGATCAATGCCAACATTGATTCTAATGTTGACAAAAGAAGGAAAAAAAAAGGATAAGCGGCATGGCTGGTGACAGCTGTGACGAGAGTGGGGCTCAGATGAACAACTTGCAGCAGAACTTTCCAGAATGCAAATGAAGCAAATGCTTCCATCTTTGCCCCAAACAGTGCACACTCATCATGACCGTATGGGTCCTCTCATGATCGCAGTGCCGTCAGTCAGTATGCCACCTCCTGAAAATGGATGCACGATGATCATACATATACCATTCATCACATGACACCAAGGACTTCAAACTCATGCACAGCATATTTGATGAACCAAGGACAACTCCGTCAAGATGCACCCCAACACATTCACACTGCACAACGATCATCAATGTACACAAGCCATCATTCCGGTTGGGTACAGTCACCTTGACTTGTTGAGCGTGTGTTGATTGGGGGTTGGTAGTAGCGTGTTCGGAAGCAAATGCCTGATGATCGTACATGTACACTGGCCGTGGCCTGCCCGAAGACATCAAACTTGTGCACAAAATCAGCAATGACCCAGGCACAACTCCGTGGATGCAACCCAACATGTCCTGACCCTCAGCCAACATACAAGCATGCCAGGCCGGATAAGTTCATGGCTGCATGCATTCATGCACATCGGCACACATACTGCACGCATGCATGCATTCATGCATACAGGCACACATACTGCATGCATGCATGCATTTATACATGCCACCACACATACTGCATGTGTGTATGCATTCACACATGCCAGGACACATACTTGCATGCAGGCAACATTCAACATGCATTCTTAAATTGTTCTTGCAAGACTTGCATCAAATTGCGGTTACAATGATGGTGACCACCCGTTCAAAAGAAGAAAGCTCTGGCACAAAACAGATTTACTGTACTGTCGAATACAAGATGCTGGCAGTTCAGGTGTCTGAGCATAAAATGGGAGGGGGAAGAGGGACTGGCAATGATATGTGGTCAAGAGGAGAACCCATACTATCAGACAATCATGCAAGCAGATTGAAACAGCAGTCAAACAGTCAGAGAAGTCCGAACGAAGAGAGGAACAACAGCAAAGAGCGAAAAATGCAGGGAGACGGATAAGGGAATGTGAAAGGTAGAAGGTACTGACAATGACACAGTTGAAATGACAAGGCATGCTTGAGGTACAAACAGATGAAAGAAAGGCAAACAGACCAGGCAGAAAACGATTTTTAGCCCGGCTAAATTCAGCAATTGACAAATGTCTCTCTCTCTCTCTCTCTCTCTCTCTCTCTCTCTCTCTCTCTCTCTCTCTCTCTCTCTCCCCCCCCCCCCCCCCCCCCCCCCCTCCCTTTCCTAGTTTTTTTTCCCTCTTCGGGGCAGCCCTGAAAGAGCAGAGATCAAGTGACCACCTGGTTGGCTTTTACGCGTGCAGCAAGATCTCTAACGAGCGCTCTGAGTCTATCAGGTGCGCAGAAGAAGTCAACGAACACATGCCGCTCAAGAGTGACTTCATGAGGATGGTGCCGTACAATCTGCACAGGATGCATACGCACAAAGAGAATAGCAAGTCGGAGATGTGTGAGCAACTGTGTATCCAAACATTTTGTTCCAGACAAGGGGAACACCTTTGTGCAAGTTCTAACCTTTGGAATGATCGGGCCCCTGGTTGGAAATAATTGGCAGGAACCCATGTCTGCGAACATCATCAGTTTCTGACCAAGGTGCTTTGCTTCCGCTGCAGTTCACAGAAGTCTACTCTAACCTGCCAGGCTAGGCTGGTCATACTGACATGTGGTAAGAACTGTACAGAGTCTGCCGACACATGGACAGAATGAGGTCAGAAAAAGTCAGAATGGTGCTGATGAAAGGCATTCCACGATGCAGACCCCAAATTCGAATTTCAGGGTGGAAGTCTCAGGCCAAGTCGGCCAGTTCAGAAAGGTCACAGTCGGGTACCTTAGGAGTCGAGTCCAACAGGCACCCAGTCAACAGTCGTATCCCAGAGGCAAAGGTTGCGTTCTCCAAGGAAAAGTCACGTCTCATATTGAAAAGTCATATTCCACAAGCGAAGGACACTTCCCCAGGCAAAAGTCGTGTCCCAGAGGCAAGGGTCACATCCCACAGTCAAAAGGCATGTTCCACAGGTGAAAAGTCGTGACTCACAGGCCCGAGCAGCAGTACACCAATGAAAATTCGGGAAAAGTACCAGGCCTTGACATTCTGAAGCAAGCAGGCCGTGGGCATGCGGTACCAGTACACAGTCAAGCCACAAGAAGCAGAGGCTGGGATGAGTTGAAGCTCAGTCCAAGTCAATATAAGGAATGGCCAGCAACATTTTGGACAGATTCATGAGAAGTGCGGAAGTGCTGTTGAAGCGCTTGTGCACTATCCGCGCGTAGCATGCGCGTGAGAGCCCTGCTGGGCAGCGCTGCACTGAGATGGAAGGCGGCCATAGCCGCGTAAGTTAGTAGTAGGGATACAGCTGACTAGCAGCGAATGTATTGAGGGTCAAGATTCTCAAGTAGAGAGAAAGAGGGGGGGAGAGCACATGCATGAGGAAGACCAGAAGGGACAGAG